CTACAATCACCCTTTTAAGCTTTTTATGGATTTGATCATTAGTAAGTTTGCTTTATAAGATGTTTTCATCCTAAGAACATTGCCTTTCCGATATCCTAACTTTTTGTTTTCTTCTCTTTATCATCTCTTTTTAATTATCATAGAAAGGTAAAAACAATCAAGAATTAACCTTTTTCTTGCTTTTGGTTGAGATCATGTAACTAGCCAATTAAAAAGCTAAAGTGTAATATTTTTATTTATAACAAATAAATATTAAAATAAACATTTTTTATGATTTAATGAAACAGATAGACAGGAAAGAAGCTGCATGATGAATGTGAATACAAGTGATGGAGAGCTTTTGATCGTATACAATATGAATAAATTTAATATGTCGTTGTTTCACGACTTTACAACAACAACCTAAAACCAATTGCGAGAAAGCTCACCATTCACGAGTCGTGAGGGGAGATAGTGTAGTTGTATCATTATATATATTCATCATCGCAACAACGTATTTGGAGGTTTGAGCATGCTGATACGAAAAATGCGTCTCGTTGTTTGGAATATTTGATTCAACAATAGAATCATCCCAGTTGGCAAGATAGGAAACAGATTGTGAAATTGTAACTCCAAACAAGTAAACGAAAGAGAAAGATATAATTTAAAATGATTTACAACTTCTATTTTTCTTTCGAACCAAGCTTTGTACAAATGGCCGTCGAAACTAGCACAACATACGGAAATTGTCATAGTTAACCTCATCACAAAGTAACGTCTTTTGATAATGATGGGAAAAAGAAATAAGAGAAAGCTTCCAACACAAAACATGTTAGATGTTTTGTCACGTCATTACCTTTTTCTTCATGCATGGTAACCGAAATTTTATTGTTTTTAACAATTCTTTTCTCTATGAGGTTTTCGGACTTCTTGCTATCAAAACTTAGAGCATTCACATCAATAAATTCCCTCTTAGGATTCAAATTTTCAATTTTTATTATTAAAATTTTTATTTTTCTTTTGATTTTTATTTTTAAAAAACAAAAACAGACCAAACGTGGGCTGCCACGTGTCTTGGAACCCACACTACAGTGATGAACCGGATTCACTGCAGAAAACCTACGAGAGACAGGTTTATCACTATTTCTTATTTTAGTTTCTTTTTTTGAAAAACGTGTGAACCCCCATCTGAACCTTTGATGGGGTGCTCTTATTGATTGGGTTCTTAAACGTACTTCTTTGTTTTTCCTCAAACACATATTTTAGGTCCTCAAGTGAAATAGTAAATGGGTTTCTTCTCTCCTTATTCACATTTATCTTTATGTTTTGGATATTTTTCGTTTATCGTTTTATCGTAAAAAAATCTCTCCGGTTGTAACCGACGTAGCCCATTAAAACTTTAATTTAATATAGGTATTCAAAAAAAAAACAATTATTTTTCTAAGTTATACTATACAGCAACACAAATTTACAAAATATCAGATAAAAGGTATATGTATATCTATCTCAAGTTCAGCTTTGGCTGTAAATATTATATTTACTTATGAAAGGTATTGCCAACTTGACTATAGCTGATTTTTTCTTCAAAAGCTTTAAACAAATAAATAATGAATCATTTACACTTATTTTTCTGAAAAAGAAAACTAGGAATCCCCAAAATCTGCCATTGTTTTTGTATTAAATAGTTAATTAACATTTGACCCTTTCTAGTTTCTACTTTTGTTAAATATAACATTATCATTTCAAAATCTCACAACAAAATACTACAAAAATGTTTGGGCTCATTTCCACAGCTCATATGAATTGGCCTTGGGCCAAATACAAACATAGGCCCATTCATTTACCAATAATCTCTACAAGAACAAGACCCATCTCTGAAATGATGAAACCTCTTTGAATCTCTACAGATAATCTCTCTCTTTATAACTCTTGACACAATCTTGATCCAACTGTGACAATCAACACAAACTCTAAGGTTCTTTAGAATCCTTATACTTCCACCAACATTTCTCCAAACTGCAAAAGCTATGGCCAGTTTCTCGCTATGTTGATGCAAAGATCTCTCCTTTGCACTCTCCTCCATGTCTTGAAACACACAGCTTTTGTCTTCAACATACCCAAGATCTTTAGCTTTCTTCATCAGCTCTTCAAGAGTTTCAAAAATCTGGTCAGAGTTTGGATGTGAAAACAAATCTCCAGCCATGAATGTATACCTTTCTCTATCGACTTCAACCCAACTCATAGCTGGACTCTTCTTCAGCTTCATCCCCCTCATATCACTCTTCATCTCAATCACTCTCTTCCATCTCCCAGTGGATGCGTAGAGATTTGACATTAGAATGAGAGTTCCTTCATCTCCAGGTGCTATCTCAAGGATCTTTCTCTTTAACCTCTCAGCCATCTCAACATTTCTATGGAGTTTACAACCGCTAAGCAGTGTCCTCCACAGAACCAAATCAGGGTTTACCACCTCGTTTATAAGCAACTCCGCCTCCTCCAATCTCCCTGCTCGTCCAAGCATATCCACCATACAAGCGTAATGATCATTCGTTAACACGACCTTATTTTTTCTAAACGAGTCAAAGAACTCACAACCTTCATCAACTAATCCAGAGTTGTTACAAGCCAAGAGTACACTCAAAACCGTTACATCATTCGCTTGCAGTCCAAGATTCACCATCCTCTCAAACAACTCGAGTGCTTCCCGTCCCAAACCATTCTGTGCATAACTATACATCATTGTGTTCAAAGATATAACATCAACTTCATTCAAAGTATCAAAAACCAACCTCGCCATGTCCGAGCATCCACATTTCCCATACAGATCAATGAGTCCTGACCCTGAATACTTATCTCTATCTAAACCATATTTCAACACTATCCCATGAACCTGCCTGCCTTCTTCAAACATTGCGAGGTTCGAACACCCCCTGAGAGCACCAGACAATGTAAAAGAGTTTGGCTTCACTGAATCACGCATCATGTTTCTAAACTCTATTAGTGCCATTTCTTCCCTACCGTTTAAGACTAGCCCTGATACAAGAGACGTCCAAGTGACCTGATTAGGGTACTCAATACACTTGAAAATCCACAATGAATCATCAACCAAACTGCACCTAAGATACATTGTAAGAAGAGAAGTTTGTGATCCTAAAGCAGAATCAAACCCAGACTTGATCATAAGTCCATGAATCAACTTCCCATTACTAACATCCTTCAAGTTCCCACAAGATATCAACACACTAGCGTAAGTATACTCATTAGGCTGTACTCCCTCCACCAACATACTTTTAAAAGCCTTGACAGCTTCCACATCTTCACCTTTCTGAGAGTAACCAACAATCAAAGCAGTGATCAAAACCACATCTTTCTCCTCCACACGGTCTAACACCAACTTCGCCTCCCTAGTTTTCCCAAACTTCACATACATATCCACAAGAGCACTTCCAACGAACACGTTACCAACTTCCAAACCCAGAACAACTGCAACTCCATGGCTTCTCTGAGCTTCCCTCAAATCCGAAAACGCCTTGAAAACACTAGACAACGTGTACTCATCTGGCAACACACTATTCATAATCATCAATCTATACATCTCAACAGCTTCTTTACTTCTTCTACACTTAATAAACCACGAAATCAAAGAGTTCCACGTCACGATATGTCTCTCAGGCATTTCATCGAACACCTTGCGTGCGTAACCGATCTCGCCGCATTTTAAACTCGCGTCGACGAGTTTGCTGCCGGAGAGTTGGATTGGGAAGCCGGATTTGATCATCTGGGCTTGGATGGTTTTGATTCCCGGTAACGATTTTTCGTCTATGCATTGTTTGAGAAGCGGAGAGAAAGTGTGCGTCGTTGTTAAAGAGTTGCTTGCGATGCAGAGAAGTCTAAATTGAATTCGAAAGTTTCCTCCTTTGGAAGTTAAGAAGCTTGAAATTCTAGAGACGACGATCAATCCGGTGCTACGATCTCTTCTCATCGCCGTCGCATTGTTTCTCCGAGCATCACCTGAGTAGTTCCGCGGGAGATGGAAGTTGCGTCTTTTTAAAGTAACGGCCCATTAAACTATTAAATTGGAGTACTGAATAGCCCATAAAGGTTTATAAAAGCCCATTAATTTATTGAAGCATTTACTAGCCAATGAATAAGCTATTGAATAGCCCCTGAAGGCTCATGAAAGCCTATTAAGCTATTAAATTGGAGCATTGAATAGCCCATGGAGGTTTATAAAGACCATTTAGTCCATTGGAGCATTTAATAGCCCAATTAAGATTCAGAAAGGCCTATTAAGCTATTGAACTGGAGCACTGAATAGCCAGTGAAGGCTCATAAAGGCCTATTAAGCTATTGAACTGAAGCATTGATATAGCCAATGAAGGCTCATAAAGGCCTATTAACCTATTAAATTAGAGCATTCAAAATACCCCATGGAAGTTTATAAAATCCCATTTATATATGAGAAAATGACTAGGATAAACTTAAAAAAAAAAATTGTCATATGTTTTATTAAATATATATATATATATACACCTCTTGGGTTAACTAATACTAGATTTTTTTGTTTAGAGTTGAATAGTGTAGTTTTGGGGATAGGGTTTCAAATTTTTTAAAAAATAAAAAATTAAAATTTTCAAAATAAAAAGTGATATTTTAGTCATTTTAGTTTTTGAGATCTATTTTTGTGATAAAAACTTAAAATAAGGCTATTTGAGAGAATTGTCTTCTATATATTGAGGCATTTAATAGGCAATGAAGGCTCATAAAAGGTCTATTAAACCAATGAACTGGAGCATTGAATAGCTCAAGAAGGCTCATGAACCCCATGTAATGTATTCAACTGAAGCATTCAAAAGCCCATGAAGGTTTATAAAAGCCTATTAATCTATTGAACCATTTTATAGCTCATAAAGGCCTCTTAAGCTATTGAAATGTAATTTTAAATAGCCCATAGAGGCCCACTAAGACACATTGAGCTCAAAAGTCATTTCTTGTTCCAGAGAAGATGCAGAGAGAGAGAGAGAGAGAGAGAGAGAGAGAGACGCCGTTCTGCAAAGTTTCTCCCTTTCTTCACCGGACCGATCCAAAAAAAAAAACCCAATCACCAATCTATGATCCGTCGAATACAACCACATCGCGGCTCACTATCCTCCGCCGTGAGACTCTCCCGCCGTCCCTTCTGCTCCGTCTCCCCACTCATCCACACACCTCCACAGCAACAATCCGACCAAAACACCATCCCACACCGTCTCCTCTCGATCCTCACCAAACCCAATTGGCACAAATCTCCATCTCTAAAACAAATCCTCCCATCAATTCGCCCTTGCCACGTCACCTCCCTCTTCTCACTCGACCTAGATCCCAAAACAGCTCTCAATTTCTCCCACTGGATCTCTCAAAGCCCTAGATTCAAACACAGCGTCTACTCCTACGCCTCCCTCCTCACTCTCCTGACGAGAAACGGGTTTGTAGACGTCGTGTTTAAGATCAGAGGGTTGATGATAAAAAGATGCGAATCTGTGGGAGATGCTTTGTTTGTGTTGGATTTGTGTAAGGAGATGAATAAAGTCGGAAGCTTTAAGCTTAGGGTTGAGTGTTACAACGCGTTGTTGAATTCGTTAGCTAGGTTTGGTTTAATTGATGAAATGGAGAGGCTTTTTAATGAGATGGTGGTGGAGGAGGAGGAGGGAGTTAGTCCGAATATTTACACGTTTAATAAGATGGTTTTTGGGTATTGTAAAGTTGGGAATGTTGTTATGGCTAAGGAGTATGTTGGGAAGATCGTTGAAGCTGGTTTGGAGCCGGATTTTTTCACTGATACGTCGTTGATAATGGGGTATTGTAAAAAGAAGGATTTGGATTGTGCTTTTGAGGTTTTTGAAGGGATGGCGTTGAAGGGTTTTAAAAGGAATGAGGTTGCGTATACTCATCTTATACATGGTCTTTGTGTGGTGAGGAGGGTTGATGAGGCGGTGGAGTTGTTTGTGAAAATGAAGGAGGAGGAGGATAATTGTTATCCAACGGTTCGTACTTACACGGTGCTTATAAACGCTTTGTGTGGTTTGAAACGGAAGTCTGAAGCTCTTGATTTGCGTAAGGAGATGGTGGAGAGAGGTATTACGCCGAATATTCATACGTATACGGTGCTGATTAGTAGTTCTTGTAGTGAATGTGACTTTGAGGAGGCAAGGGAGTTGCTAGACGAGATGGTGGAGAAAGGGTTGATGCCAAATGTAGTGACTTACAATGCGATGATTGATGGGTATTGTGAGCAGGGGATGATGGAAGAGGCACTAGACGTTGTGGAGTTGATGGAATCGCGTAATGTTAGTCCGAATACACGAACTTATAATGAACTGATACATGGGTTTTGTAAGAAGAATGTGCACAAAGCAATGGGAGTGTTTAACAAGATGCTGGAGAGGAGAGTGGCTCCTAGTGTTGTCACTTACAACTCCTTAATCGATGGGCAGTGTAGATCTGGTAATTTTGATAGTGCGTATAGATTGCTTAGTTTGATGAATGATAGAGGATTAGTTCCAGATCAGTGGACTTATAATAGTTTCATTGATTCTTTGTGTAAAAGAAAAAGAGTAGAAGAAGCTCGAGTACTATTTGATTCTCTCGAGGAGAAAGGTGTAGATGCAAATGTGGTGATGTACACTGCGTTGATTGATGGATACTGCAAATCTGATAAACTAGAAGAAGCTAAAGTTATCCTTGAGAAGATGTTGAGCAAGAATTGCTTGCCTAACTCATGTACATTTAACGCCCTGATTCATGGCTTATGCACCGATGGAAAATTGAGTGAAGCGATGTTGTTGGAGAAGAAAATGGTGGAGAAGGGTCTTCAGGGTACAGTCATTACAGACACAATCTTGATTCATAGGATGCTCAAGGAAGGGGATTTTGATCATGCTGAGAGACGTTTTCAGGAAATGTTGATGTCTGGGACAAAGCCTGATGCGCATACTTACACAGCGTTTATTCAAAGCTATTGTAGCGCAGGGAAACTGAAAGAAGCTGTGGATATGATGGCTAAGATGAAGGAAGATGGTGTTTTCCCTGATTCAGTCACTTACTCCTCTCTGATTAAAGGCTATAGCGATCAAGGGCTGACGGATTCTGCGTTTGATGTTCTCAAGTGTATGGTTGATGATGGTTGTGAGCCTTCTCAGCATACGTTTTTGTCTCTGATTAAACATCTGGTAGAGATGAAACATGGTGCAACAGAATTCTGTCTGACGGGTAATATGATAGAGTTTGACATTGTTGTTGAGCTTCTTGAGAAAATGGTAGAATACGGTGTTACTCCCAACGCCAGATCATACGAAATGCTGATCAAAGGGATCTGCGAAACAGGGAATCTCAGAGTTGCGGAAAAGCTGCTTGAGCGCATGCTGAACAAAGGAATATCACCGAGTGAGTCCACTTTCAATGCTCTTCTTAGCTGTTGCTGCAAGCTGGAAATGTACAAGGAAGCAGCAAAGGTTGTAGATGAAATGATATGTGTTGGTCACTTACCGCAACTAGAGTCTTGCAAAGTCTTGATAAGTGGGCTGTATAAAAACGGAGAAAACGAGAGAGGGGCTTGGGTTTTCAAGAGTTTGCTTCGGTGTGGTTATTATCATGATGAGATAGCTTGGAAGATCATTATTGATGGTGTTGGGAAGCAGGGACTTGTGGAAGCATTTAATGAACTGTTCACCGTTATGGAGGAAAGTGGCTGCAAGTTTAGCTCTCATACATATGCACTGCTCACTGAAGGACCTCCTGATAGCACGTAAGGGGTTATTGTTAGAGGATAATGCAGACCTACGGGATTCAGGTTCTTTTTGGGGGATGTAAAACTTGACCTGGGCTTGTAAAACAAGATAGCCTCGTGTTCGTGTGATAGTGCTACTGATTATACAATAAGGTACCGCACTAATACTTTATACTTTGGGTTTAGTTGTCTGACAAATCTTGCATTTCTCACAACTGACGTTTTTTTAAACTTTGTTTCAGGGTCAAAACCATGATCCAAGGCTTTCTTCCCAAAAATGCTGAAACTTTGAGACACAACCTCGGGAGGGAATGTACAGTGAAAGGCTCACTAGCTCATAGCAAGTGAATGACGTTTTTTCATAAATTGCCTTTTTGCATGAAGAGAAGGTTATAACAGGACAAACCCTTGAAGCAACCGCTTTGAGCTTGACATTTTTGACAATTCCTACATTCTTTTACTTCTGTTGCGCAGTTGAACCATTGATTATGCGGGATATATATTAAGGAGATGAAAAAAAGACCAATGTTAGCTTTGTTGTTTGAAGACGTCCAAGGACGTGGGAGAATGTCGTGTCTGATGTCCAGTTTCTTTTTTCAAGATCACAGGAAAAATATATATTTTCATATGGTTGTCTTTGGAAGTAATTGAGATGTGTAATCAGAATTTATTGTCCACTCTAACATCGACGAAATGTGTAATTAAGAGATGGGCACAAGTAATTTAAACCACTTTGCACATGTCTTATAAACAAACGTTATCGTTCTTCAGATACTATTAAACTTAGATGACATAATCAGATAAACACATCAACCCAAAATGCTAAGAAGCCATGCTGCTATTTGGTAGGTGGAGATCTCAGCTTATCCTCCGTCTCATGTTTAAGAGAAGAGTCCCCTCCCATTAGTTGTTCGAATCCTTCAACCTTAACGGGTTGAGCTCTGACCGTTCCTGTTGTCCTGCAAATACAATGATGACACAACTCTCATAACCTGTCGAACAAATATAGGAACCATGTGAACTTTTGAGTTTTGCAGAGCTACTTACGGTGTTTGCATTTGTGGAATTTGCATTGAAGCCAATTGCCTGAACTGGTTATAGCCAGGTTGTTGCTGTTGCTGTTGCATATTCGAGAGTGCAGCAATCTGTTGCTGCTGCCTGAACTGCTGCTGCATTTGATGCTGGTGTCTTGGGTTCATAGGGTTGAATGCATTTCCATCTACTGCCATTTCAGAAGGATTCTCAAGCTTTACCTGCACCAGCGGCCGATCCTTTTCCATATCCATGTTAGGTCGCGGTGATGTAACTTGACGTTTACGCATTCTCTCTAGAAGTTGCTGCTGTTGTAAAGATTGGGGATTAACCATTTGCTGCATCTGTGGATGCATTTGCCGCTGAATCTGCAATTATAAACAAAACAACCACGAAAATCTATCAATTTATATGATCTCTTCATTCACAATACTAAATCACTGTGTACATACTTGTTGCTGTAACCGCGGAGGACCTTGTTGCTGCATATGTAACTGCTGCTGAAGCACTTGTGGTTGTTTCTGATTTGGGGGATGATGATTCCTTGTACCATCTTTAACAAGCTCTGCTAAACTCCCAAGATTACTGAAAAAACGTCAAAATTTAATCACAAAAACTAAAACTGGATCTTCTATCACTAACATATGTATATATGAGGAGGACAAAGCTAGGAAATGAAAAACATATATGATACGAAACATCTAAACATTGCTCAAAATCAAATAAGAAAAAGACACTCACCTGTATCCCGTAGTATTTAGGAACATCTTAATCAGCTGCACCGCTGAACACTCCTTTTTGTAACTGTCAGTAAGAACCTTCAAAATACCACCTAATTTACAGATATGTCGGCTAAGTAACTGAGAGAAGACATCAACCGGAACCTCCGTCGCACCTTCAAATCCCATTGTCAAAAGCATGCCTGCCACAACTTTACGTGACACTTGAGCAGCTTGTTCGTCACTACAACCCATCTTCTCAGCCTTCTTACGTCGCAAACCTCCTCTTTCTTCCATTTTAAGGTACTCAGGCATCATCCCAAGCCTCTCGAGCATAACATGACTCCTGGTAGTAGTAGTAACTTGAGGTAGCGTATCAAGTACCCCGTAGAACTCTGTTTTAACATCATCTTGTGTTCTCGCAATCGGCGAAAGGGCAGTCTCCGGTACACAGTTCATTCTAAACATTGTCTCCGGAAGAAGAAGTATATCATCTTCTAAACCACTTCCATCCAATCCGGAGCTTGGATGGATGTTAGATCTACTCATATGGGCTGAGCTTCCGGTACTTCGATCTTCTAAAAAAGGTGCACGTTTTCTCTTGTGAGTATCCACGACTCTGAGGTAAGTAGACATCCCTTCAGGAGTGCGTTTGTCAGATTCTTGTCCTCCAACAGACATCCCATATTTAAAACCACACCTTGATGATATAAACTGAGTGTACCAAGTGTCGGGTAACTCCTCGAACCTGGACCTTTGAGCTAGATTACTGAAATCAGACTCACTACCTCTCCTCCCAGAGTTAAAACTTGGCTTGGATTGGCTCTGAAAAAAATCATCAGAACAAAAATTAACAAATGTACTAACGACTAAACACACCAAAACTAAGATTGCACCAAAAGTTTATTCAGCAGCATTAGTGGCATGGTTCTAAAAATCGGTATAGCCAGCAAATCGGTCATAAATTTTCTTAAAATCCGATTTATACGACACAAATCCGTTTAAACCGATCTAAATTAGTCTAAATATGTTAAATTAAGTAATAATGTTCACACAAATCCACAAATTTGTCTAGTTTTTTTGTTTTGTATATCTTATTTTGATAATTCATCGAAATAATTTTATACTTAAATCGTTAAGGCCTAGGCTCCGACTAAATCCCGAATAATCCACCTAGTCCTAGTCACAGCCTAGAAATTTCTGGTAATATATTACTGAACAAGACAATGCTCAAAGATCCACAAGTATAAGTTGGAGAATGCTCAAAGAAACTAATTCACTACCACCTAAGCATATAGTAATGCAGAACAAGGTGAATCTTTGTCTAATTTTTTTTGTAATGTATATTTAATTTGATAATTCATCAAAATAATTTTATAACTACATTCGTTAAGGTCTCAATGACTAGGTCCCGAATAATCCGCCTAGTTGCTAATCTTCTAAAAGCGCCAAATTACCAACTAACCATTTCTAAATTAATAGATTACTGAACAAGACAATACTCAAATATCCACAAAGCAAAAGAGGGAGAATGCTGAAGTAACCTAATTCACTACCACCTAAGCATATAGTAATTCAGAACAAGGTGAGTCTTTGGAATCAAGATTAAACAGGAGCTACTTGGAATCAAGATTAAACAGGAGCTACTTGGAATCAAGATAAATCAACTCAAATTAAGTAATAATGTTAGCACAAATCCACAAATTTGTCTAATTTCTTTCGTTATGTATATCTAATTTTGATAATTCATCAAAATAATTTTATAACTAAATTAGTTAAGGCCTCGGTCCCGACTAGGTCCCGAATAATCCGCCTAGTTGCTAATCTTCTAAAAGCGCCAAGTTACCAACTAACCATTTCTAAATTAATAGATTACTGAACAAGACAATGCTCAAAGATCCACAGAGCACAAGAGAGAGAATGCTGAAGTAACCTAATTCACTACCACCTAAGCATATAGTAATTAACAAAGTGATTCTTTGGAATCAAGATTAAACAGGAGCTACTTGGAATCAAGATTAATCAACTCAAATTAAGTAATAATGTTAGCACAGATCCACAAACTTCTTTTCGTTATGTATATCTAATTTTGATAATTCATCAAAATAATTTTATAACTACATTCCTTAAGACCTCAATGACTAGGTCCCGAATAATCCGCCTAGTTGCTAATCTTCTAAAAGCGCCAAATTACCAACTAACTATTTCTAAATTGATAGATTACTGAACAAGACAATGATCCACAAAGTACAAGTTGGAGAATGCTGAATTAACCTAACTAACTTCCACCTAAGCATATAGTAATTCAGAACAAGGTGAATCTTTGGAATCAAGATTAAACAGGAGCTCCTTTGGAATCAAGATAAATCAACTCAAATTAAGTAATAATGTTAGCACAAATCCACAAATTTGTCTAATTTCTTTCGTTATGTATATCTAATTTTGATAATTCATCAAAATAATTTTATAACTAAATTCGTTAAGCCCTCACTGACTAGGTCCCGAATAATCCGCCTAGTTGCTAATATTCTAAAATCGCCAAGTTATCAACTAACTATTTCTAAATTGTTAGATTACTGAACAAAACAATTGCTCAAAGATCCACAAAGCATGCTGAAGTAACCTAATTCACTTCCACCTAAGCATATAGTTAATTCGGATTAAACAAAAAACTCCTTAGCTCACCTTAGATAAACCAGGATTATGACGAAGCCCCCCACCTTCTGAAGAAACATTCTCCAAAGTATAGTAAACATCATCTCCGTGCAACTGTAAATCTAAAAATCCAAACAAAAAAAAAAAAAAAAAAAAATCACAATTCCAACAAACAGAATTAGCAGTAAACAAAATCTCTCTCTCTCACACAAACATACAATTAGGATTAAGCTTCGACACAACGGAGGAGGAGGAAACATCGGCGGAGAATGAGTTGGATCGGAGGAAGAGTGAGACGGTAGCCTTGTCGAAGAGAAGGGCGCGGACGCGGAGCTGGAGTTGAATCTGAGCCCTAGACTTTGATTCGTCGACGCGCATGAAGGCTTCCCAGGAAGAAGGTGAGGATAGGTAGTGGAGGAAAGATGTGTAGATAGAGTCGCCGAGCCAGGTACGCCATACGCCGGAGTGATCGAGTCTTTTCGCTAGATCGAAGCCTCTACCGTCGTCGCCGAGAAGCGCCATGGCCACTCTCTCTGACTCTCTGACTTTCGATATTTTGTTGGATTAAGGCTCTGTTTTGTTTACTAATAAATGGGCTTGGGCTTTTGGACCCATTGAGTTCGCGCGAGAATAAAAGTAGAATAGTGATTTTTTTTTAAAAGACTGAAGCGAAAAGTAGTTAACGCGCTAGGAAGGGCTTCAATTTCGATATTTTGGATTAAATCTCTGTTTTGTTTATTAATTATATGGGCTTGGGCTTTTGGCCCATCGAGTTCGCGCGAGAAATAAAAGTAGGATTGTAATTTTTTTTTTAAAGACTGAAGCGAAAAGGTAGTAAACGCGCCAGGAAGGGGTCGAACCTTCGGCCTTCTGCTTAGGAAACAGACGCTCTATCCACTGAGCTACAGGCGCCTTTTGCTCGATGCTTAAGCTCACAATAGACTTTATTATAGTTTCATTTAGTACTAACATGAATCTGTAGTCTTCGATGGTGTTGATTTGATTAGCTGATAATAATGTTAATGTGATGATATGAGAAACAATATCCACATGTTTTTTTTGTTGACCAAAAATAAATGAGTAACAATATCCATGAATCAGAGCCGGTCTTAGAATTCTTAAGGATAGAAGCAAAAAATTAAAAAATAACCGAAAATATATTTTGTTGGTAGAATAACTCGAACCCTGGTTCGGATTAATGTGCAAGGACTCTTCAATCACTACTACACTAATGAGACGTTTCATAAAATGTGTGGCCGATATTTTTGATATTCTCTAGTGGTCGGAAGCCATTGCTTCTATTGCTTGGCCCCAGCACCGGCTCTGCCATAAATTATTAAACATAATCTAGTTCTCTCTGTTGAATGATGACGATAACTATTTTCCTCATGTGTCGCATTCACTTATCTATGTGGTTCGGTTAGATTTTATATATACAAACTCTCTAATCCGTTGTTGGGTTAAGTGGCTGCCTCTTAATTTAGCAGTTAATTCAGAATACAAATATAAAGCTTATTGTATACACGTATCTCTTTCCTATTTGAGAACGATTAACTCATGTCACTTGGTTTTACTTTTGATTTTGATTACCATTAATTAGTTGTAGATGATTAAAAAAATCAAACCAGAATTTTCAACTACAAGCTAACTGAATTTCGGATTGAAACAGTGTGTCTTAGGACTGTGTAAGTGAGAAAGAAAATCGGTTAGACTGACTTCTCTGATAGAAACCTGACTGGTGAGTTTGGTGGCCATTCTGATATGGACTTTGGGGCCCAATAAAGAAAGATGGAGATAATGAGATTAGATTTGGAGAGACTTAATTAGTTAAGGGGTTTAGTTCACCCACTTTGCAAGATACCTCTTCACTTAACTATTCACCTTTCTCCTTTGAAATTACCAATTAACTAATAAACTTATATTTAAAATGCAGTGTTAGTATTACGTTAACAAATTCGCATTTCACCAGAGACTTCCAAAAAATCATTTTCCAGCAACAACTTCACTTAACTTGTTATTTTTTTATGTGTTTGTCCAGCAACTACTTCACAACTTCACTTAACTTGATAATATCACAACGAATAATCTACACGCAAATATAGTTGAACAATTAGATGTTTTAATTATAATATGTCAGACTCATGATATACGCTTACTTGATTAATTTCTCCCACGAAATGTATTATTCTAATAATCTTTACTAAACCAACATATGTATGAAAATGATAATCTATATATGTTAATCGTATTCGTTGGATTTTTCTTCCAGGTGAATCGTCTCTTCTTTATATAATTTATAAACATGCATGATCACGTAAGCTACAATTCATAAACTAAGTTGTATTCACCTGATCAACTGAAGTTATTGCGGAAAAAACTTGACATGGTGCATGGGGGTCCAACCATGTCGCGACTGGTGTGTGGTTCGGATAAAATGTTGTTATTAACTATAAGCTTCATGATGACTCGTGACTATCGTGTCGTTAACAAAAACACTCTCATAAATGTCTTCTATCTTCCTTAGTTTTAAAATTCAAAAACGTTAAGTTTGACACCATTATTTACGTAGAAAGTGTTAAAGAAATGAAATAACTAAAAACTGTAACGATGGCTTGGTCTAGGCCTCTAGGTTGGTCAAGCTTCATTTGCCAAATGTTGCATGTGTGTTCATAGTGGCGCCACGATAACTGAAACCAATTCACGTAGAGATCGAAAAACCAGATCGACATGAATGATATAAGAAAGACACGGAGTTAAAAAAGAACGAGGGAAGTTGAGTAGCGAAATCTTTTTTCGTAAGACTCTCTCTTTTCTCGTTTAAATAAATTCGTTTCTCTTATTCATTCTTCAATCGTTTTTTACACAGAAAAAATCCAGCAATCTCTCAGAGTAAGTTTTCAGAGAGTGTTCGTAGAATTTTAGTTCGTTAGATCGTTTCACGAGTGAAGCGTGATTCGTCTGTCATGGTTGTATCCTGGGACTCAATATCGTACAGTTTCGTCTCATTACAGAGCGAATATTAAGAGTTAAGGAAAGAGATTTATCTCGCCTCCATGTCTTATATAATCGTCTATTCCTTAACTCCGTCTTTCTTATATCGTTTATGTCGATCCGGTTTTTCGGCTTCTACAATTCATACCTCAAGAAAACACATTCTACTGCATTTCATAAATTTACAGCAATGAACAAAAGAATTAGCTTGACGGTACCAACCATATAAAAGAAAACAAGATGTCAGTCACATGGCTAAGTATTAAATGGCAAACGATAAATAAAAAAGTTAGCCAGCTTCACAAGTCACAACCATAAGCAAAGAGAGAGGATGTCTTGTCTTCTCATTCACTGTAATTACGGATAACGCCATTGAGCAGCTCCAGTTATGTCAACCGACACCGTATCATCACATCTTCTTTCAAAACTAATAAAATATTATATTTTATCATTGTTTGTTAAAATTCAAACTTCAAATATTCAAAAATAAAAACTAAACAGAACATAACTTTGCATGGGAGGTGGAGTTGTATAAATATAGCCAGAGAGAGAGATTCCAATCCATTTACAAGTCATCTTCTTCCTTAATCCACTTTGCTGCTTTTCTAAATCTCCTAAAAATAAACATTTTTCTAAATATAACAATAACAGAGTCTTAAACTAGACAAAAAGAAAAAAAGACACAAAACCTCTGTTTCCCTGTTTCCCCGGATTCTCTCCGAGGCTCTCCTCTCGGAGATGGAGAAACTTTCCATCAATCTCTAACTTTTTTTTTTTTTTTAAAAACAGAGGAGTTTCTCAAAACCTATGGCTGTTAAAGGTAAAGTTATAATCTTTTAATTATGTTTATAGACAAAAAGCATAAAAATCAAGTCTTTAATTCTATTTTAAAAAAACAGAGGAATTTCTCAAAACCTATGGCTGTTGAAGGTAAAGTTATAATCTTTTAATTATATTCATAGACAAAAACCATAAAAATCAAATCTTTTAAATGTAGAAATGGAGAAGAAGAAGAAGAACAAAGGAAGCAACGAAAAAACAGAGTCAGAGGAACCATCACCAAGATGCGTTCTTGAGATCCAAGTAACGAGTTCTGATTCCGACAACAGCAGCAGTTGCAGCTCGTGTTCGCCTGATAAATCTTTGTTGTCTTCGCCGTTGTCAACGACCGCTGCTGCAACGAACGGTCGTCAATGGAACAAGATGATAGAGTCTATCAAGAAGAAATCTATGAGGAGATTCTCTGTGATTCCTCTCCTCGCTACCTACGAGCTCACAAGGAAGAATATGCGGAGGAAACAGCCGAAGCTGTCTTCTTCTAATGCGACGGATAACGTGTTCGACTGTGGTCAGTTCCTTGTTGCTAAACCGTCGTGGCGTAATTTCAGTTATGATGAGCTTGTTGCCGCCACCGACGGGTTTAATCACGGTAAGGACATAAAACTTTAAAAGACTAAAATACCCTCCTAGTTACCAATGATAAATAAAGTTAGTTAGGCATGCAGTTGATAACCGAACTAACCGAAATTTGGTTTGGTTTGATTTGGTTTGGTTTGGCGAATGGCAAGTTTGGTAATGAGTTTGAAGCCCGCATATCTGCAGATATCACAATATTTAGACGAGTATCCGGAAGACATGAAATCCGAATCCGGATACTAAAATCACGAATGCGGATCTGGATACTTCAAATTTCCCGGATATCCGGATCCGTCCCACCCCTAATTTTTGGTTCAGCTTCGTTCAATTAGGCATGTTTTATAAATAAATATAAAACCTTCGATTTTTGGTTTAGTTCAGGGTTAGTTCAGTCTTTTTCTTAAAAATGCTAATCAAATTTCCAACCGAACTAACCGTATTAACCGAAATTTACCAAAATTTTTAACAGAACAAACTGATATTACCCGAATTTAACTGAATTTTTAACCGAAACAAAATCAAAACCAAAAACTTTGGTTAGTTTTGGTAAAAATAAAATTCAAACTACTCGGATAACCGGATCACCTTTTTGGTTAATGAAATAAAAACCCTCCTAGTTTCTGACATGGGACTTGGTTTTGTTGTTGTTGTCGTTGTTTAGTGAATATGATTGGGAAAGGAGGACATGCAGAGGTATACAAAGGAGTTTTACCTGACGGAGAGACTGTAGCCATCAAGAAGCTTATGAGACACGGTAATGAAGCAGAAGAGAGAGTCAGTGACTTCTTATCCGAGTTAGGGATGATCGCACATGTTAACCACCCAAACGCAGCTAGGCTTCGAGGTTTCAGCAGTAATCGCGGTTTGCATTTTGTCCTCGAGTACGCTCCTCACGGCTCTCTCGCTGATCTACTCTTTGGTATACACTCCACTGCTTTGAAGACATTGTTGTTGTTGTTTTTTTTTGTGTTTATGTTCTTTGCAAACAACTTTGTGTAGGATCTGAGGAAGGTTGTTTGGATTGGAAGAAACGGTATAGAGTTGCTTTGGGTGTAGCTGATGGTTTGAGTTATCTTCATAATGATTGCCCTCGACGTATTATTCACCGTGACATCAAAGCTTCCAACATTTTACTTAGTCAAGACTATGAAGCTCAGGTATTATGACACATATTCAACTAGGCCTTCAGGGTTCAGTTTTCGGTTGGTTCGGTTTTCGGTTAGTTTAGTTTTCAGTTAATTTAGTTCAACATAAATCTTACCGAATTAACCCAAAATAAAGTTAAATTTAATATGGTATTTGGTTAATTTGGTCTTTGAAATCCTACCAAAGTTTTTGATTTCGGTTTTAAATTTGTTAAAACTTTGGTTAATTCGGTTAGTTCGGCGGATTCGGTTCGGTTCAAATCCTAGTCTTAGATTCAATAGTGAAGAACTAATCATCTTTAGCTGAATCTTATATGAATTGTTGCAGATATCTGATTTTGGACTAGCTAAGTGGCTACCAGAGAACTGGCCTCATCACATTGTCTTCCCTATAGAAGGCACATTTGGGTCAGACAGAGACTTCCACATCTCTTTAGTATACTTTTGTTTGATAGAATACTAAACATATTAGTTTGGTTCCTTTGTTATTGTTGTTACAAGGTACCTAGCACCAGAGTACTTCATGCATGGGATTGTTGATGAGAAAACTGATGTTTTTGCCTTTGGAGTATTGCTTCTAGAGATCATAACTGGTCGTCGAGCTGTTGATACAGCAAGCAGGCAAAGTATAGTTATGTGGGCGAAACCACTTCTTGAGAAGAGCAGCGTGGAGGAGATAGTTGATCCTAAGCTAAGAAATGAGTTTGATGAAACAGAGATGAGAAGAGTGATGCAAACAGCTTCAATGTGTATACACCATGTAGCCACTATGCGTCCTGATATGAACCAGGTAATGTTTCATTAAACCCTAAACCCTAAACACCAGTCCTCTCCCCATTTAGGGGACTATCTAATAAGAAGTTTTGGGATGCAGTTGGTGCAGCTACTGCGTGGAGGAGATGACAGGTTAGCTGAGCAGAAACAGATATCAAGAAGAATGAGTTTGGACGGGTGTGACTTGCAAGATCACACCTCTTCCTCCTATCTTAATGATCTCACTCGGCATAGACAACTCTTGATGGAGTGAAGCAAAGCAATCTCATCAAAATCAATCAAAACAAAACTACTGAATCTTCTTCAAAGAAACAGCAACAGAAGTGTTTGTTCCTTTTCTTCTTCATCTACTCAATTGTAAAGAAACATATCTCCAAAAAGAGGCAAAAGTGTTTGTATCTATAACTTGCATCTAGTTCCAGCTTTTGTCTTTTTCCCCTGTGGTGTAATAGAGTGATTGATTTGAGGAAAATATTCATAAGAAATGGAACACAGAGTTATCCGCCGATTACATACAAAAAAAAGCATACTAAAACCCATAAACCACCTCTAAGCAAGGAAACAACTACCACTTCCACCACTGACAAGTTAACACTAACACAAAACTAACCCCAAAAGTTTATGTTTCTTCAACTTTTCTCCCCTCTGCTTCATCCTAGAGCCTACAGTTAACAAAAAGAAAGGGATAGCACCACTAACATGTTAATCTTCTCTGGTAAGATTAGCCAAAATCAAGAAGATAAGCCGCTCTAGTTCTTGAACCAACATTTAACCATATGATTCTAGTAAGACTGGTTAGACCACATGAAAAACGGATCAGCTTGGTTCATAGGCACTGTAGGATCAGGGATTGCAGGATAATGCTGGAAGAAATTCTGGGGATGGTAGAGAACTGAAGACTCAAATGGAATCCCACATGGGATTGAGTTAGGGTCTAGGTCCGGTGAAGAAGTAGAAGAAGATGGAAGCAAACGTTGTTGGATGTTATGATCATCAGAAGGAGGAGGAGGAGGAGGTTCAAGAAGAGGGAGTTTATGTCGTTTCACAGATGTTCCTCCTACAGGGAAAGAACTTTTCATGATGGCTTCAACATCATAACGGTTCATCTCAAAGTTAGTCACCGCGTTGATTCCTCTGAACTTAATAGCTGCTATGTCATAAGCCTCTGCTGCTTCCTCTTCAGTAGCGAAGGTTCCAAGGTAAAGATCTTTGTTTCCTGCAACACGGCCAATTCTTGCTTGCCAGCGACCTTGTTGATGATGCCTTGTGACACCTCTATATATCGATGCTCCTCTCGAGAAACCGCTACTCTTCCTGAAAACATTATAAATCATAAGATTCATATTTTCAAAAAAAGATATGTTTAGTATCTTCATTTTGACTCACCTCCTGATGGATGCAATGAACTCTTGCTTGGTCATGTGATTCATTTCCTCCAATTCTTTTGAATAAGTTGACATCTAAAAGTCCATAGAAGGATGACAAGTTAAGGAGAGTTGACATAAAGTAAAGCTACTCTAAAGGAGTGAACATAAAACCTGAAAATTTGTAGTAGCAGCAGGACCCCAGTATTTTAAAGCAGCTAAGTCATAGGCTCTAGCTGCTCTATCTTCTTTGTCATATCCACCTTAATACCAATATAAATGAACCATCATTTTTCAAACTCTATATATCAAATTGGATAAAACTGTCAATATAGTATCATATTGCTTACCTAAGTACACTGTGGAAGCCAGGATAAAAGGGAGAAACCATATTCAGAGGTACATGCAAAAAACATAGTAAAACAGGTTTTAGCCAATACAAGGATCATACATACACAATGCTAACAGAGCTGGTCTCATTTTATTTCTTACTAATTAGTAAAATTCATGGTAACACAAACAAAAAGTTGGGTTTACATTAGGGTCAAAGCTAGATTCCTCTCATGTGTTCACAAGTTCACATCACAATTTGCTTTTGTGTGTGATGTCAACACAACTAATCAACCTGACACATTAAAGACATAAAGAACCCTACAAATCAAACTCATGAACAGAAAGGATTCTTAAAAATTTCAATTTTCAAACCTAAAAAGCCAAAAAGAAAAACAAAAAGCTAGTGGATAGTGGCTAAATAGTAAATAGTCTTACATCACATGCCTAATAATATCTTGTGCATGCATATCAAATCAGATAATAAATATGGGATAAAAGGGTCAAAAGTGGGTCCAAAATCATGTCAATCAAGAAAACAGATATTTGCATCAGAGGTATTGGGTCCACTATAAGGTGAAAAGAGAGATTGTCTAATAAAGAACAAAGATGGCGGCAGCATTGTGATGAAAAAATCAAGCATATAAATACACAATTCCATTCTATTATTGTTAGTCCTTTCTGTTTAAAATTTTGGCACTTCTCTCCATACTATGCAATATACTAAAACCTATCAATCATCACAGAGTGATTAGACATGTAACCAAACATAAAAAAGCTCTCAAGTAAATTAATATTCACATAAAGAATCTTTTGCTTGCATTTTTATCTTTCTTTTGTTGACAAAACCCTTACACTGCTTCCATACAAGAAAGATAGCTACAAGTCTACAATAAGATCCATTTAGCTAAAGACCTATTCTCCCTATTATAAGACAAGACAAACTGTTTTCTACATTTTGTAACACATGAAATGCTTGATAATGTTTTACCTATACTGATCTCAACAGTTGCGCTTATTGGTAGCTTATTGAAATGCAAACATTCCAGAATACTAAATCAAGCAAATGATTCAATGGAACTGTTTCATATGCTTTTCAAATTTATTTATTATTTTTTTTTTTGTAACAGCTTTTCAAATTTATTTAAAGTCATATTATATAAACTGAATAAAAGAACAATAAATTACCCTGACGTCCTTTTCTGGCTTGACCTTCCCTCCTACAGCTGTTATCCCATAGATGCGCTTCGTATCTTCCCGTCCATCTATGCCTGCATCAATCAAACCTCATATTAATAAAAAAAAAAAAATCAAAACTTTGACTATGTTCTCATAGATCTTCCTCAGCATTTAATTTATTCATCCTACCACATTGGATACATTTCCAATGATAAAGAAGTTAACTTTGACTCTGTTCTCATAGTCATAGATCTTCCTTACCATTTATTCATCCTACTACATTGGATACATTTCCAATGATAAAGAAGTTAACTTTGATTAGTTAACTCAAACTAAAACACTCAAACAAATATCAATGTCAATATATTCCTAAACCCACAAGTAATAGATCAAAACTTTGAGATCTCAACGTTGCAAAAAAAGTAAAAAAGATCATAACTTTAGATTCTCTTGAGCCTATATTCACCCTATTAAATTGCATTTCCAATGATAAACAAGTTAACTCAAGCAAATATCAATCTTTTTTACTACCCACAAGTAAAAGATCAAAACTTTGAGATCTCAACGTTGCAAAAAAGTAAAAAAAGATCAAAACTTTGAATATACACTCTACTATTTACCGTGTGACTCCTCGGTAAATCGAAGTTCGTTGTCCAAATGTTTCAGCAACCTTCTTCTTTGTCGAATCATCAGTTGATGTTTTAGAAACTGTCTTCTTCTTACCGTTCTTGACTCTCTCACCATTATTGCAACAACGATCAGTACTGTTGTTCACCGCTAGAGATAAAGCTCCTTCCTTAGTGCAAACACTATCAAAACCTGCCTCTACCATCTCCTTGAAACCGTGTTGATGACGTGGCTCGTAGAGAGAAGCAGAAGAGTCTAGCGTCTCTGGTTGGTTATCGGAGAAACGAACAAAGGAAGAAGAAGAGTCTCCGAGAAAGTCTTCAAGTTTTGGAATATGAGTTTGCGAGTCGAAGAAAGACGCCATTGATGTCTCAGCTTCTTCTTTCAAAACTTTGAATTTACAAAAACATAAAGTTAGCAACTTTAAAACAAAAACAAAACAGTTTAAAGATCTCTTTTTTTGCCTTTAACGGGGAAAAAGACAAAAGAAAGCAACGGAGAAAGGAGGCGGTGAGTTATATTATACCAAACAAGTTGTCGATGAGGTAAGGAGTTGAAGAATCGTCGTAAGAGACGAAGTGAGGATGATGATGATGGTCAGGTGATTTCATCATCTCCATTGGTGACAAAGCAAACGTTAACCAATTCGCCATCTAAGAGCTGAGCTGAGCTGAGAGAGAGAAAGTTACAAAGTTTGAGACTTTATGATATGAAAATCTGTGGATAAAGACAAAATAAAATAACTAGTTACTTAAAAGTTTTAGTCACCTGGCTATAGTAAGCTTTAGAGAGGTTTTGTGAGAGGGAGAAGAGATGCATAGGAAACAGGAGTGCACTTTATAGAGAGACTGCAGAACCGATCCTGGACCAAGCCGGATGAAACATTTGCATTGGTCCATAAAATTTTTTAAGAAAAATTATATATATAGATCCCTGAAAAAAAAAGTTTAAACCCTTAAATCTGATAAAATAAAATTTTAGTTGAAATCGTTAAAATATCATCTTAGGTCCCTGAAATCTCAGGAACAACCCAGAGAAAGAGACAAGAGTGTGAATGTATAGATGGAGAAAGGGATGATAGAGAAGAAAAGTAGAGACCGGTGTAAAACCGGGAATGGGTGAAAGAGTGACACTTTTTGTTTTGGAGAATATTCAAACAAAACACATATCATTTTTCATTTGCGTATATTATTTTAAAGTTTAGGCTATACTATATAGTATACTTAAATGAATTTGGAGCCAGGCAAATTTATTTAAATCAACACCAGGTAATCAATCTAATTATTACTAAATCAGCATGGTGATTTTAGACTAGTGTAAATTAATATGGAGTGACTGTATGTTGAAAATCTATTATATAAAACACAGTTTACTCTCTCCTTAGTGTGTCCACGTAGGATGACACCTAGGAAAGGCCACGTCAGCAAGTGGTTTGAGCCTAATTCGTGTGGGCCTTTATTTTTTTTTTTCACTACGGCCCGGTTCTCTTCGCACAGAAAGAGTCGACGCTTTGTGTCCTCTTCTCCAGGTTTCTGAAACCACCGGAGTAAATCTTTTCACCAACCCCACCACACTCACTAAACCCTAGCTCTATCCCCTCTGTTCACATATCTCACTCTCTCTCACTCTCGGCAACGACGCCGTCACTGTTGCTAACGATGTCGTCGGGACTATTCGAAGATGGATTCTCAGCCGAAAAGCTCTTCGCACAGGGATACTCCTACACCTACGACAACGTGATATTCCTCCCTCACTACATCGACTTCTCAACAGACGCCGTCTCCCTCTCCACGCGCCTCAGCAAGCGCGTCCCACTCTCTATCCCCTGCGTCGCTTCCCCTATGGACACAGTCTCCGAGTCACACATGGCTGCTGCTATGGCTGCGCTTGGAGGTATCGGAATCGTTCATTATAACTGCGGCATCGCTACTCAAGCTTCCGTTATCCGCCACGCTAAATCTCTACGCGTTCCGATTGCGTCTGACGCTGTTTTTAAGTGTCCTGACCATTTGATTAGTTCGGTTGATGACTTTGGTCCTTCTTCTTTTGCTTTTGTCTCTCAGACAGGTAAAGTTATCTACTTTATATGTGCCAAAGTTATCTACTTTATATATGCCAAAAGCTTACGTAACGATTATGATTGTCTTAGTGGGACTACTGTTTCTGTTTTGTTTCACTCAACAGTTTTGTAATGATGCTTAAAAGCTGTAATAGGGCGTAGTGAATACTAAATGGACTTTTGGTGTTGTTGTCTGAATGGGCAGTGTCAGAACTCAGAAGGTTACACAATGGTTATGATTGTCTTAGTGGTACTACTGTTTTTGTTTTGTTTTTTAGTTTTGTTTTTGTTTTTGTTTTGTTTCTGTCACTGAAGTAAGGTATATAGTGAATACAATGATCCAAAAATAGGTGGTTAAGCCGCTTAGTATAGGCAGAGACTACATTGTAAGATCAGCTTTATAGTTGCAGTAGAAACTAGATAATGGGAAAAATTAATCAAAGAAGCTGAGATAACAAGTTCCATGAACTACGAGCTTTGTTTTTTTTCATCCCTCTGAGTTTGATTTTTGAGCATGGAAGACAAAAACATGTTGATGTTGTTGTTATTGTTTTAGGAGAGCACTTTTGAGAAGAATTGAGTATCTGAAAGGCAGGTTTTCTCCTCCTTCGATGTCTAACTTGCTGTGTTATTTCTAATATATTTTTCTCAAATTAAAATCTCTGCAGCGTCTTAGAAGGTTCCAAGGTAGTCACAAGTAATAATCTTTTTTCTTTTAGTTCTGTATTTTACTATTTGTTTATTTTGTTAAACATAGTGATTCTTATTGCAGAAGCGGCATAGTCTCGCAGAGGTATTCTGATAGTAGAAGATTTTTAGCGGAAGACTGATATAGCATAGGCTTTTGTTAATCTAAAATTGCGTCCAAACATGTGTCAGGTGATACACAGTTGCAGGAGACGCTAACCAAAATAGTTGAGCTGCTTCCCAAATGTTGAAACTGCTGATTCGGTGTGTGAAGTTAGCTCTGTTCTCAACGGTGCTGTATTTCCGATGGTAAAGGTATAATTTTCAGTAGCTGCCGCTGGACGCCAGCGTTTGCGTAAAGAACATGGCTGTTGTTATCTCTGTTGACTCTTGCAGCAGCTTCTTTGTAGTTTCAATTATCATAGATGTATTATAGTTTCTCGAACTTAGTCTTTAACTACTACAGCCTACTTTGTCAAACTGATTCATAACTATAGACATATCCATAACGAAGTCAAACTGCTTTGTTCATCATCATTTTTTCATGGTTATGTGCGTATAACAACTTGCTTAGCTTCAGTTTCTTTTCTCGAAAGCAAACTGCTTTGTTAATCATCATTAAAACCTATATTAACATTTGAAACTTTCTCTTTTAGGTGGTATTGTTATAAACATGGTTGTGGGAGGTGCAGTAACCACTCTCAAAAGCTTTGAAGAAAGCAGCAGCATTATCATGGCAGAAATGCCAATCAATGTATAGTGGATTTAATCTTGATAAAGCAATAAACTTTACAACAATATTTGACTAATATAGAATATATAGAAATGTGCAAGATAAATATATAGTTTACGCTATATAAATAGATTTAAAATCTTTGCAAACCATGTAAAAGTTATAAATTACGGTAATGAAAATACATAGTATCATATTCTACCAATGGATCCTCTAAATCTTGACAACAAAAACATCTTGGTAGCTGATCTCGAATGGAACATAGAAACATTATGAATATCTTTCTCCATATTCTGAAATCATATGTTTAAGAATTAAAATTAAACAAGAAATACAATGGTTCAGGAATGTTAATATTTGTACCTAACAAACAATAGAGCTTATTTTATCAAAATTAAATATCACCTAATAATAAACTTAATATATAAGACCGATGAACACCAGGAACAACATTTCTGACCCACAATTCCACTCTAATGAGATAACTAATGTTTTGATTGTCGGTATCTCACCAAAATTGAAAATTTCCTTTTTGAAAATGACCTTGGAAAGAGCCATATACATTAATTATTAGATTCGACTGCGAATGACATATAAATTCAATCAATTGATGTCATAAAAGCAAAAAATCAAAATACAAAATTACTTATAAACAAACTAAACAACAACTTAAATTGATAAAGTAGTATTTCTCATACTCATTTTTTGTAAATGTGAACCTAAAACATTGAACACAAAATTATATTAAAAATAATAATTTAATTCACAATTAAAATATACCCCGCCCGTAGGGCGGGCCGGCCCTAGTTTATAATAAAATAATGGTTTTAGGAGGTGGAGGTGAGCTTTTAGCCCTGCAGAAAAGAAAATTTGTCTGGAACAAAGGTCGCAAAATATCTGGAAGACAAAAGATAACACAATTACTAAAACTATTTGCAAATCTGATTATTATTATTACTAGTAGATTAGTTTTATAAGAGCATCTCCCAAAGACACTCTATAACTTCAAATATGAAGTTTTTGGTTCTCCAAAAAGGAATTTTAAAACTTCAAATTTGAAGTTTTGAGTAGTGAAACTTCAAATATAGAGTGTTACTCTTCAAAACTTCAAATTTGAAGTTTCATATTTTTATTTGCATTTTGATCCTTACAATTATACATTATATTAATAATTTTTAAATATATTATGGTGTATTATTATAATCCTTAAAAGATTTTATCTCATAAATATTTCAAAATTGTTTCTATAAATTAAAAATTTACTCATAATTTTCTTTTAAAAACAACAAGATAAGATTTAAAATATTTTAAAATTAGAACTTGACAACAACAATATTACAAGATTTAATATGGTATTTTATTTATAGTTTAATATTTAATTATATATTCTATTAATAATTTCATATTGTAGTGTAATATTTTATCATTTAATATTTCTGTAGTATTTTTATATATGTGCTAGTTATATATAAAATTTCTATGAATTTGAATTAGTTATAACAAATATAAGGACCATGGTACAAAATACAAATAGTTTTAAAGTTAAATTTGAAGTTTTGTTTTTGGAGCACAACACCTTCAAACTTCATATATAGAGTTTTGAAAACTCTAAAATAGAGTCTATTTTTGGAGATGCTCTAATGACCTCCTTGTTCTATAATAATGTCATTACCAACTTTTATTGTTCCATCCATGTAAGCCTTCATGCATTTGCAAAATGCCGGTTTAGCTTTTACCTTTTACCTTTTTCACCCCAGCCGGTTCGACCCATTCGAGTATGCTTACTTCTGTTTATGTACAGAATCTTATACAGCTAAAGTATAATAATACAGTAACAACGTGAAACTAAACACAATGTGAATACAGTGCAACGTGAAAACAAAAACAGTGTGAATACAATACACCTTTAGGTTTAAATTGGTTAAAACGGAGAAATGTTTATGTAAAGAAATGGCTTGTAGTGTGGTGGATGAGACAAACTTCCAGACGGTAGGGCGGTTTCCCTCTGTAATAAAACTAAGGTACATCAATTTTTAAGAAAAATAAAAATGTGCCCAGCAATTAAGGCACGTGATTAAGGCCTAATGTCGTACTATTGTTTAGAGCATCTCCTATGATCCTATCCTATATAATTCCTACTTTATTCAACCTTTTACCTTGACATGTATAATCTTCATGACTAAAATGAAGAATTGTTTTGATAATTTATGTGAACCAATCATCTTACCTAATCATGGGACCAATTATTGAAAAATGAAACATTCTACGTAAATAAACGAAAAAAAATGAACCATGGGGGTAAGTGTAACAAAAAATAAGAACGAATCTAATAAATTCTGTCAGTCTTGGCTTATGGTTCATTTGTCATGTCCCAAAGATTTTTATTATAACGCGAATGATTCTAAATTCATACAAAATTAAATTGTGTTACTCGGTTTTAAGATTAATAGTATTTTTTGGGAAGGTCCAATAACTTGGGCTAAGTGTAACAGTTGCTTTTGGTCTTTGACCGGAGAGGCACGTGCGCAGCATCTTTTGATTCATCATTTTTCTGGTCGATGATTTCGGCCACGCACGTGCAGCCCTAATTACCCTCTCTAACCTTTTTGGTTTTATCTTATTCTCTATTTTTACCATGCATGCTTGATTTTGATATGACTATGATTTAATTCTTATGTCATGATGATAGATAGTATTAATAAGTATTATTATTGGTCTGAAAACATAAAACAATTTTTAGAATCCTCTGGTAAACACATGCAAACTGTATAAACCTCAAACACAGTGCTACACGCCTACATTTCGTGGCTGCATTGTAACAAACCACTTGGGTGTGACGATGCTAGCACACCTCAAATGTTTTACGTTAAACTACAAATACAATTCGAATTATCTTAACCGTGAGAAAACAGGAGAATAATAATAGTATATACTTAAGAAAGAACAAAACGACAAAACAAGCACAAAACATACGTGGAGTGTGATTAATTAGTCAAACATTACAGCCACGCGATTAAAGAACAGCGCGACACTGCAAGCTGTAAGTAGCTGTAAACTCAAAGTTACACCCGGTAATTAAACTATTCGCTGGTTTATTATTTTTTAATAAGAAAAAACTATGGCATGATTAACATATACACATTCGTCTGATAAAGTGTTTATGATTAACAAGTCTAAACGTTATTGTGTCAGATATATACACTTTGCATAAATATTAAAAAGGAATTTGTTGTTACACAGTCAGTTATATTTTATGCTTTCTCATATTTAATAAAATGTACATGTTTTAGATGTGCTCTATATCCTATTCCTGTATCTTTAAGCTGTACAATCTTAAAGAATGTTATTTATGCACAATGGGCTCAGTTAAATACAAAAGAGGCCCCTAATGGGCTTCCATAGTCAAAACGAGCTGAAGATTAAACACGGGCCTTTCAAAGCCTTTTTGTGTTCAAGACAAGACTCTTACGTATGAATTTAATCTTAGCTGCTGCTTTGGTCACCACGATGTTACATGCTAGCACGTCATGTTGTGTAATTATTTTTGTAATTTTTCAGGCTGTTTCCATAGTCAACTTCACAAAGATACGAAAAGTCAAAAAAATCTCTCTCTCTCAAAATACAATTACACAAACACCAGATCGAAACTCCCGTCTTCCAAAGCCATTCATCAGATACAACAAAACACACATAAGCAAAAGAAACAAAAAAAAAACAAGAAAAAGATGGAAGAAACTCAGAATCATGTATTACAAGAAGAAGCAGAAGGATCAAAGATGGAGAAAGTATACATAGCTGTAGGAAACGACTTACAAGAAGGTTTCAAGACGATAGATTGGGCTTTAAAGAAATGGAACAACATACCAATCTCCATCGTTCTTCTCCATCTCTGCAACATTTCTCAAGATTTCGTTTACACCCCTTGTACTATCTCTTTCTTCTCAATTCACACCTATAACTTTTCCTTTTAATCACATAAACCCAATTTTTTTAACATGTGTTAATTTGTATCATCAAATAGTTGGGAAGCTTCCAGCGAGTTCTGTGAGCGAGGAGAAGCTTCAAGTACTTAGAAAATACGAGGACCAAAAGATCAACAAGTTGTTGTCTAAATACGTTACTTTTTGTAAAAAGGTTTTACCTTTTTTTCTGTTAATTCTGTTACTCTGTTTTTTTTTAGTCTAATACTCTGTTTTGCCTTATGATACAACTTTGGTTAAGTGTACAGTCACAGGTGAAAGCAGAGTTACACAAGGTGGAGAAGCAAGATGATTCAATCCAAGTACTAATCTTAGATCTGATCACAAAGCTAAGAATCACAAAACTCGTCATGGGAATCACTTTCATGAGATCTTCATCATCTTGGTAACTTGTTAAACACGTTTAAACCTTTTTGAAAAAAAGTCCCATAAAAAAATGTGATTTTTGTTTTGTTTTATGAAACTCAGGAAATCTAAGAGTGCTATAAGTGGATCTTTCCATATATACCAAAACAAACCGGATTTTTGCGAGTTTTATATAATCTGTGGAGGCAAAATGGTTATGCTAAAGAGGGAGAGTGATGTGAACAATAATATTAGAAGCTGGATTGGTAAAATGTTTCATGATCATGGAAGAAATCTAGACCGTTCATCTAACAGTAATGATGATCCAACGGCTAGTGGAAGTCCATGGGATAAGAATTTGCAGGAGATGGAGATTTATTTCCAGCAATTATTGAGTTTGAATCTTGAAGAAGAAGATGTCCAAGAAGAGGATGAAGATGGTGGTGAGGAGGTGGCACTAGACGTGCTGCAAGATATGGTAAAAAAGAATATACCTTTTTTTTGTTGTTTTTAATGAATTTGATTGACTTTTCAATGTGTTAATCAAACTATTTTAGGTTTATAAATACTAAATTATATTTCTAGGTATATACTAAATAACAATATATTTACGTAAACAAATTATATTTGTGTAGTTGGATATCAATTCGGTTTTTGGTTCTAGTTCGGTTTTGATTTTTGAGTTTTTGAACTGTTCGGTTTTGGTTTTTCAGATTTAGTTTTGTTTCTTTTTTTTTGGTTAATTTGCCAATGCCTACTAGACGTGCTGCAACATATGGTAAAAGAATAAACCATTTCTTGATTTGTTTTTTTTTTAATGAATTTTATTTGAAATTTTCATGTGTTGAAAATGTCAGAATGTAGGAGAGAAGTTAGAGTATGTGAGAAGAAAGGTGAATGAAGCTAAGCTAATGATAGAAGACAACATGAGAGAAGTCAAAGTCAACTCTGAGAGATCAGACAAAGCTGAATGGGCCATCTCTTTATGCAACTGCAGAGTAAGTAAAAAAACTAACACTTATAACAAGAAAATTAAGATTCACTGTCCTAAAACTTTTTGTTGGTTTTTTGAAAACTAGATTGAAGAGCTTGAAGCTGGGATAAAAGAAGAAACCGAGAAAAGAGAGAAGCTTCAAGGGACGTTAGATTCAGACAGAGAATGCATTGAACAAGCAAAGAACGATGTGGAAAAAGGAAAAGCTAAGCTAGTTTCTCTTGGTGAGCTTCAAGAAGAGCTTTCAAGCAAGGTTAAGACACTGTCAGATGCTAAACTACAATCAGAAGCTGAGTTAGAGAAGGCCGTGTTAAAGAAAGAAGAGATGATGATTGAGATTGAGAAACTTAGGAACCAAAGAGACGTTTTCAACCGTAGAATTGAGTTTTGCAAAGAGTTGGTTTCAGAGGAAGAAGAAGAAGTGAAGTGTGGGTATAGAGAGTATGTTGCAGAAGACATAAGACTTGCTACAGAGAGTTACTCAGATCGCTTGAGGCTAAAATCTGGAGGTAACTGGACTAATGTGTACAGAGGAAGGATCAAACACACAACAATGGCTGTGAAAGTGATTGGTGACCGTTTATCAGATGAAGATTTTGCAGCTAAAGTGAAGCTTCTGAATGAGATCAGACATCCTAACTTGGTGGCAATAGCTGGATTCTGTTCAGAGAAGCCTAAGTGCATACTCTTTGAGTATATGCACAATGGTAACTTAAGGGACAATCTATTCACATCTCAAAGGAAATCAAGAAGAACCAAGATACTTACATGGCATGATAGGATCCGTATAGCTCACCAGGTCTGCTCCGGACTCGGGTTTCTACACTCGGTCAAGCCTAAACCGATCGTCCACGGTCGTCTTACGCCTTCCAAGATCCTCCTGGACCGTAACCTTGTACCGAAAATAACCGGGTTTGGGGTTGTGATACAACAAACCGATACAAAACCTGATGTGATGGCCTTTGGGGTGTTGCTTTTGCATCTCTTAACCGGGAGGAACTGGCCCGGTTTGCTTAAAGCGATGTCGATGAACCAGGCGAGTATCTTAAGAGATTTGGATCAAACAGCTGGTAAGTGGCCTTTGGAGTTAGCTAAGGAGTTTGGTGCACTTGCTGTGAAATGCTCTTCAGTGAACAGAGCAGGAGGGAACATTGATTTTACAACTAGAGAGATAATGCAAGAGCTTGGTAAGATAATGGAGAAAGCTAATGAGTTTAGAATCAAAGGTGGTTACGAGGAAGCAACTAACACAAAGATGGATGAAGCTGATCCTAATGATATACCGAGTGTTTTCATATGTCCTATACTTCAGGAAGTGATGAAGAATCCACATGTTGCAGCAGATGGATTCTCCTATGAGCTTGAGGCTATAGAGGAATGGCTAAGCATGGGACATGACACGTCTCCTATGACGAATCTGAGATTGGATTATCTATTTCTTACACCGAATCATACTCTTCGTGCTCTTATTCAAGATTGGCATAGCAAAAAAGCAGCACAAGCTTCCTCCTAAGTTGATACTTTTGTATACACACACAGAAAAACTCAATAAAGTTTACAACTTTGTATTCTATTTCATAAAGCATTCACTTTTAATACAGATTAATTGATATTATCAAACACAAACAACAAGAGAGAAGCAGAACAAACAAACAGAGGAAGAAACAGAGCACAAGCTTCCTCCGAAGTTGATACTTTTATATACACACACACAAAAACTCAATAAAGTTTCTAACTTTGTATTCTAATTCATAAAGCATTCACTTTTAACAAAGATTAATTGATATTATCAAACACAAACAACAAGTAGAGAAACAGAACAAACAAAACAGAGGAAACAGAGGAAGAAACAGAACACAAGCTTCCTCCTAAGTTGATACTTTTGTATAGACACACAAAAACTCAATAAAGTTTCTAACTTTGTATTGTAATTCATAAAGATTTTACATTTTAAAAAGATTAATTGATATTATTATCAAACACAAACAACAAGAGAGAAACAGAACAATCAAAACAGAGGAAGAAGACGAAAGATACTTTCATTTCGTTGATACAGAGGAGAAAAGGCGAGAGATTCGATCTTTCTGCTCTTGGAACCTTCGTTCTAAGAAAGCCTCCATGATCTCCATGACGGAGACGAATCTCTTCATCTGCTCTAACCGACGGTTGAGCTCAGCTTCTCTCGCTCTGGCTCGACGAAGCCGCGCCTCTGTTTCCGCGATCCGGTCTCGGAGATCGTCGACCACCACCGAATCTTCGTTTTCTCCGTCGGGAGATCGGCGGCTACGGAGGGTGTTGCGTGATGACGAGTGGTTGTGACCGTAACACATCGTACATAAAGGAGAGAGAAAAGATAAACACAAAATTCAATTTTTTTTGGTTTTGAGTTTCTGTCTGAAGAAGAAGAAACAGAAATGGAAACCTAAACAAGGGTGTTTTGGGAATTTGACGAATGTTTCTAAACCTTCTAGTACGCCAAGCAGGTTTCATCTTTTCTCATAGTCTAACACATTTTCTAGGAACTGAAGAACCGAACCAAATTTCATAAATAATCATTCGGATCATTTATCTATTATACAGAAAAATCGAAATTAAACTGAGAATCTAATAGTTACCCTGAATTTTTAAAAATACAAATTACATACCTAAAACTTCAATTATATTTAATTTTAAAATAATTAAATATCTTAAAAATAATAACTATAAATGAAAATATTTGAATTACTCAAATATTATTTTACCAAAAAATATTTTAAATAATATTTTAAATAATTTGATTTACCAATATGTTTTTTTATCATCTGTAGATTAACTTAAATGGATAAACTGATATCTATATTTGAACAATTTGAACTACATCTAAACTATTAAAATTGAAATATATTTAATACTTAGTCCTGATTTTTCTACAATAATTATCATCCAATGCCACTGGTTTAAGAAGCTGTCGTTTTGAACATTAACCAAACTTAAAATGATGTCTCTTTTGCCAATTTAATTGAGTACTTAACCAAATGAACCTTACAAAATTGTCATTTTGAAAATTTCCTAAACAACCAAACTTAAATGACGTCCCGTTCTCCGATTTCATTGGAAACTAAACAGAATGAACCAAAAATATGTCATTCTCCACAGCATGCATTGGTTTAATTTGCTCTGCATAAACAAATCCAATAAACACAATGTTAATTTTACTACGTTAAAAAACCTATTGTATAAATACTTAACCTCATAATTTGATCCAACATATATCATGTATATAAATCATGTAATAGACATTGTCTTACGATCATTTTTTTGCTATCAATTAATTTTTTGTCATCTAATTTTTTAATTTCATCTTTTATTTTGTTTACTCGATTTTATGATTTGATTAATTGTATGATTTTTATAATTTTATATATATATATATATCATTTATTTAAATTCCAAATTTTTTACAAAGTACAAATAAATTCATATACACAAACACGGAACTGGATATTCTAAACAATAAAAAACAATAAGAATGTTTATGTGTAAACATGTCAAATTTAAACAAATGTGTAATATGTAAATTGATAATTCTCTTATTTTTTAAGTTTTTGTCATAAACATAGTTTAAAAAATAAAATAAAATGACAAAAATAGTCTCTTCTTAATTTGAATTTTTTAATATTTACTTTTCATTTTTAAAATTTGAAACTTTATTCAAAACCTACCCTTTAACTCTAAAAAATAAATCTAGATTAGTCAACCTTGGGATATAAGTGCATATTTACCCTTTAGTAAAATATATTTTGTTCATTTGTTTAAAGCTATTTTGTAAAAATAAACTAAAAAAGGATATCCAGGAGATTTTTTCTATTTAAATCTTATATTTTTTCTATTTAAATCTTATATATTTGATAAATACTTCTTTTTTTAACACTGATTTATTATGATATTAACTATAAGAAGGATTACATAGACGATTCGACAACCAACAATACTATCTGCCTTATGATGATCTACACTTAATTGCGTCACCTCAGCCGTCCCACAAAGATTCACGCATGGCCAAATTTATTTACACTATGTTGAAGATCTCTTGTAAGTCTTTATTTTGTATCCTGCATAACTATTTAATAAATCGCTTTCGTCGGACATTGAAACCTGGACCTCCGGGTATAAAATTATTAATGAACCCTCATTCAAACCACTGGATTAATGGGCTTCCACAAAAAAAAGACAGCCACGCGGGTGCGCGGATCAAAACCTAGTGATGTTTAAACTTGAAACATTTGAATTATTTAATGTTTTTATCCATATTATGTTTAAATTAGATTCGATTTTTTTTACATATATTAGCCGACTTCCAATTTAACGAAAACTAGATCATAACCCGCCCAACTGGGCGGGTCTTTATTTTTATGGTATATATAAACATTTCAAAAAGTACAATCTAATGGTTCCAATTTTACTAAGTAATAGTATACTGTTTAAATATTGTATTTCATCATTGTATTGTGTAACAGGGGCGTCGGTATAATATTGTGACCCGTTAATATTTTAGTAATAGTTTATAAGGTTTTTTTTTGCTAAATTTGGTACAAAGTTATATACACGAAACAATTTAGTCAAATTTTTAAGTTAATTTTTCAATGAAGAATTAGAAAGCAAGTATATCACTGTTAAAAACTTATAACAATAGTCAATATAAATTATATAAATAAAATATATATTATTCTTGATTTATTCTAAATAAATTTAAAACACGAGTATATATA